TACACCATGCACATCAATTGCTTACCTCGTCAAATGCCATACAAAACTTACACGCATACTTATTCTCATCCCACTTACTTCTTTCCTTTCATAGTTATGATTTTACTTACAATAACAACTTTTTACCACTGGCAAAAATGGGCATTGGGCATCTTTGTGAAAATTAAGATCAACTCTCAGGAACATGTGTATTGGAAAAGCTGGGTTTTAGGGTTAAATTATACAAAAGTCTTCTTAGCTCAGAGGACAGACACCGTTCACAGTGTCTGTTCTGCCAGAGCATCGCTCATAAGCTCATAAGAGAAAAGAAGCCAATGGGAATACAAAACATTCCTCTTCTTAGATAATTAGAGTGTAAGCGCTACTACGAACAGCTTTGAAGCCCCTTCTAGAAAGGTATTTAATGTTTTAAACACCTGGTAATATCTTCAGATAGCTGGGCAGGGTCTGGAGGGTAGAATTTCACATTAAATGCAAACTGCCAAGCACCACCTGGAAAAGAACACAGATTGACTGAAAGCACACTCTAAGTGCAAACGGAGATGCTCATGCTGTTCGATTACCAGCAGACTTAAAAATACCTCAGCCAAGCAATTCATAAGAACAGGATATAGTAACTTTTTCCTATACATCGTTCTGAAGATACTACTTTTTCCTCTCGCAATTACAGTATTAGATCAGATTTTACAGCTCTTTTCTTATTTAGTAAGATTTCCACTGAAGCGAGGACCCTAAGGGAGCAGTAATTTATTACTAACACTAAAAAACCCCCTCAGTCTGAAAACAATGTTTACTGGAATTAACCATCCGAAAACACAGCCTATACAAGCTTTAAAAACCAGTAACCCAAAATACAGACGCGCTGGAAACACCGCAAGCGAGAGTACAAATGGGCTCTGGAGCGGGCTGATGTGCCGAGTTCTGGCTGCCCAAACCAGCTCACAGCACCCTCTCAGAGTGCTGCCTCAGCACATAGCTCCCGTCTCCAGCAGACATAAATTACTGTGCAGACAAAACTGCAAGGACAAACACAGAGAGCATGACTGAAAAACAGTACATAACAGTGGGGAATTCTTATTTAGTTCTTTCAGTAAGCTTAGGTGACCCATGGGATGGATACTGGTTTGCATCACCACAGTTTGTGAAATTTTGTTTGGAGCGTTAGCTTTAAATGCTGTAAAGAAAGAATATCAAGACTAAAAAAAAGAGTTGAACATAGTATGTAAATATAAAAGCTATTGTGAAAAAAGGGACAGGTTATACTAGCACATGTCTCGAATGCAAATAAAAAGCAGTAACAAAACCCCAAACCACAGTGCTCTTACAAGCAACACTGTTTTTTCAGTAACAAGACTTTTCACCGAGGCCTCTGTTGTGGGATATACCTCTTATACGTACTTCTACCACATACATTACAGTATTTCTGTAGTCAAGAAACCAAAGCCAAAGTAATGACACTTCTGTTTTCTGAAACGCATTGATGTCAAAGTACAAATCTAACTGGAAATAAATAGATCTCTCTTGAAAAGTCCGTAGTATTGGCCATGTAATGAGGAAGCGCTTGTAAACACTGAAAAACAGGACTCTTCCTTATAAACCTGACAGGGTAGGGCTTTCCCACGATTTTCAATTCAGAGGCACCTTGTGCCTAGGTACCTCCTGAAGAGTATGGGGTTTGAAGGTGTATCTGGTGCACTCTCCAGTAAGATAGCTTATACGCTGGACAGGTCTGCTTGCCTGGAAATACTGTAAGGTGTCCTAATTGGGTGTTTGGGAGTATTTATTTAGAGATGACAAGGAAATTTCATCCCGTGCAAAGCCCATCTGATTTGGTCATCCACACACCTGAGAAAACAGGCTCAATGTGCGAGACTTTCGACATTTATCATCAGGACTTCAGCTCTTGGTGAGACTTTTGGGCTCCTTGTTTTTTGGAACTTTTCCACTCTCTTGGTCCATAAAAGCTGGTGGAAGGAAGACTTGGCTGGCAGCGAGGATGGGGCATGCTCCCACCGGGGAGAGGACCGACCCCAAGGTGGGAGGGGAGCCTGTGGGTGACACCTGACCCCACGACAGAGGGAAGGGGCCATGGCCTGAAAATCTATTCCTCCGGCACACACAAAATAAATCAAACCTATGATACAGCCTATCATATAGCATGGATGGTTTAAGATACCAAAGTAAGAGGCCTTCACCCCTCACTTACAGGGGTTTAAATAAAACCTAACACTGTGCAAGTTAGCGGGTTTATAACTAATGGGGTGAGAACCAGGGGCAGCACACACGGCGACAGCCTCATTTCTCAACCACTGGGATGAAATCCCTGTGGTCTGCAGTGGAATCACGGATATCTGAGTATTGTACAACTCAACCAGCATTTAGCACGGTTATATATGTTTTGGAAAGTGCCATGAGTAACAGCCCTACTTTTCCACTGTTGCCCTGTGCCAAACTTCTGGGGTGAATTGTACAGAGCAAGCAAATTATCGCTGTCATCTTCTGCAAATACAACTGTCCCCTGCATCAAGTCCAGGACGAGACTCTTCTGCCCCGGTTAATCTCTCGCTGTCACAACCTTTCATTGTCTATCTCACGGCTCGGGCACATATTAAATGCATTTCAAATCGGTGTGGAGCTGCGCTGCTTTACTTGCATTGACCATCAGTGTAACCTGACTCATCAATGTCTACAGCACCTTCCTCTCCAGATCCATCTTCTCAAGAGATTAAAAAAAGGCAGATTTTCATTACTTTTTATTGCAGATCACTTACTTTTAATGAAAATAATACTGGTGGAAAGGTGTGGTTGCTCCTAGTAAGTGGGGAAGTTTTCCAGCCAGTGTAAATTAACCCTTTGAATCTTGGAGAAGGAAGTGATTCATTTGCTGGGCCTGACCCAACAAATGTGAACTACCAGATGCATTTGCTTGTAAAAGCGCAAGTGCTAGAAGAGATCATGTACAAAACATGCAGAAAAAAACTACTGAGGCTTTCTTGCCCAAAGAAATCACACACACAAACATTTCATCAATTTTAAAAAGTGAGGGGGAAAAAAAAAGGCAGGTCAAATTTTGAGCCTGGCAGTCCTGACAAGGTTTTCCTTCGAGAGGTTTTTGAATTTCTAATGTAGCAGATGGCTAAATTTAACAACTGAGCTTTTAAAAATATTCATGTGAAGCAGAAAATTGACTGGTTCTCTGTGAACTGAATGGTCATTTTAGGAGCAAAGTTCAAGCTTTTGAAATGCAGGAAGGAAAGATATTTTAGATAGAGTGCTATCTCTGCATCAGTGAAGTATTTCAGTATGGGGCATGAGCAGCGTTCCTGGATATGATATAAATATCAGTAATGCAAAGAAATAATTTATAGATGGGACCTAGTCCCTAAGGTTACGTTGCTTAATGTCAAACTTCAGGTTTTTGCATCTCTGCAAATGTCAAGTTGTTTTCAGCAATGCAAGTTCATGTGTTACAAGTCTCAGTAACCTCCTGCACTCATTATGGGGCAAAATACCTAAAAGATGCAGGTAATTCCTTTGCCAGAGACTCGGGACAGGATGCAAAAGAAGACTGTGAAATAGGCTTTGTTGCCCCAGGGGGGAGCATGCTCTCCTGGGGGAAGGCATCGAGAAGGAGGCCGTGGCCCCGTCCCACCTGTCCCCTCACCCTGTGCGCAGCGGGGCCGGGGCGAGGGGCCGGGACGAGGGGGCTGCCGAGCCCCTGGTGCTGGGGGCACCCCGGTGGGACGGGCCCTTCGACCCAAAAGTGGCGAGCTACCCCAGTGGTTTAGGAACAAGCCCAGAGGATCAGAGGGGCTGGGCAGTGACGGGCATATGGTGCCCATGACATGCCGCTCATGTGCCGGGGAGCCCCCTCTGCCTCTTGCATCCCCGCTCAGCGCCACAGGGGTTGAATGTCTTCGCAAACACAGATAGCAGTTTGGAGGGAGACACTTTTTTGTGTAGATTTTGGGGTCCCGATACACCAGAATGAAAATTTTCCAGACCTCCTGAAATAAACACACAAATGGTAACGAACTTACTTCGGATCTGCTTCTTGATTTCCTTGGCAGGGTCCAACCAGTTCTGCAAAGAAAATGTTTCCTTTTTTCAATTTGAATTAGAAAACACAATAAACATTATTTTTAAAACAGCGCTAAGAGTCAAAACTAGAACACGTGAAGGTCTGCCACCCCTTTCTCCTTGGAGCAGCAGTAGGCAGGGATAACACTAACTTTCAAGATGTGGCCCTGGGTAGAAGCAGGATTTTTATTAACCTTCCCAGACGTTGAGGGGCTGAATGGTTTGAAATAAATTAAAAAAATTAAGAAATTAGTAAAATAAATCCGCAGAAACCTTTGTCCAGAGTATCTTCTGGGAAGATTAAATTTCTACAAGCTTGTTAAGAAGGTGGGTTTTTTTTTGTTTGGTTGTTTTTTTGCTCTAATCCTGGAAGGGCTGAAAAGGATAAGCAAGCGTGGCACAGGGTACTGTGCATTTGCAACCCAGCGTAGGCACGAGAGGCTTCCCAGAGGCGGAGGGAGCACAGGCGGAAAACAGAGGCAGAACTGCAGCACCGGGGCTGCCCCCATCCACACCGTGCAGAGCCCGGTGACTATGCAAGACAAAACCCCTGCCCAGGAGGTGGGGAATTATCACAGCGATATGTTACTACTCCATGGATGCCAAGGAGCAGACAAAATTCCCCTGGAGGAGGTGCACAGCAGCTTGGGGTCTCTTGGTGCCGCCGCTGCCTTGTCCTCTAACAGAATCAAATTAATATTTAAAATGCCTCACACAGCCCAGAACAAAAAGTTCGCTTCCCCTAGGAAAGTTCCATTTTCTCCAAAGGAAGATAAACAAATGTATCAGAGAAAAAAAAATACTAAAGAAATATCAAACAAGCAGAACACAACAATCTCCCCCCAACAAAAACAACCAATTTGCAGCTGTCCAAACCCTGTCTGTGGTGCAAAACATGAGCCTGAAGAGCTCCAGCTATTGCTGAGCACGAAAGCACACTATGCACCAAGAAATTAAAGATGCATCAGGATTTCTATTTTCAAAGGTGACATGTGATATGGGCACACATATTGTCTGGCTGGAAGTTATCTGGCAGAGGATAGAGGTGAATTGCTAAATACTTTGACATTAAAAATATACATGTTATTGATCAATAAATGTGGTGGCAGGTAGTATACTTTTAGCTGTTTAGCTCTGTAAAGTAACTGGCAATCTATAAATGTTTAGTACTTCTAAACCACCTGTTAATAGTGAATACATTCTCTTCTTTCCAGTACAGGAAAGCACACCTATCTGGAAATGTACTTAAACATCTGTCTAACTTCTACCACAACTCAAAACTAAGCATATGCTAAAGTGTTATCTTGCACTGGGCACAGACCAAGTGTCTGCTTAAGTGATTTTCTGAATCAGAAACAAAATCCTTATACTTAGAAGTCTGTAAAGAAAGGGGAAAAGAGAGAAAAAAGAATTGATTTCTTTTGTATCATATATAACTGAAACAAAGGGAAGCCTAGAAAATAGAACTGTTGTTCTCACCAGACATAAACAGCTGAAGAAGCAATAACAGCTCCAGCTTCATCGGGGAAGACCTTTCAGGCCATGCAAAGCACAAAATACCTTCACCTGGTGAGCTCTGCTGGGCTACGGCACATATTGCTAAATAGTTTTGTTACTGGTTTCTTTCAAAATGTTTATCTTAAAATGTCAGAAACACACAGTGTATTTTACATTATCCTTTGATACTCTTTCATCGTAACATGTCCAAAACAATATATATATATCACCTGCACATTAGTTCATCTTGGACACTGTTAATACATAGCTTATTTAATACTGAAGCTGAGATGCAGACAAGCAGAATGTGATTCACTATGGCTGCCAACTTCTTCTGAAGACTTATGTCTTTAGCCAAATCAACAATAACACTCAGATAAAGCAAGTCAAGACTTAAAGTCTTACTTTACCTTAGCAGTTAGCAGGAGCAGTCAATCAACTCCTGCCTATCTGTATCCCAACCATAGTATTATTAAGCTGTATTTTAGTACTGTATGTTTAGTAGTGTATATATGAATGTAAATCTGACTTTCATCTATAGCAGTAATGACATAAATCATACTAGAAAGAGAACCAGCTATATGATTAACTTCTTTCATGTCATAAATAGCCCACACAGAGGGAAGCCAGGGAAACACAGGGGATGCTCTCAAGAGGTACAGTTACAAAAAACAATAGCTCAAGCTATGTCTATGGAACTTTGCAAGGAAGGTAACAACTTCTGAACTGTTTGCAGCTGTCTGGGGGGTGTCTCACGGAGCTCTGATGTCCACGTGCCAAAGGCCAGCCACAGTTTTGTGGGTTACCTTTTGGTTTTCTGTGTCTCTGTATGTTAGCCCAAAGTAGTCTTTTTCCAAAAGATTCAGATGCTCGCACACTTTGTCAAATAGCACTTGACCTCTGGAACGTTTCTGTGGGAAATGAACAGGAAAAAAAATCATGTTTGCAAAATAAAGTAATATAAGCATTAGAGTAACACCTTTTCTGTTTAATTCTCAAATCCATAACCCCAAAATTATTTGTTTAAACTCATCCATCTTTCAAACCTATTGATCTGGAGCTTCATAAGACTCTGCTGAATGGGGCAGATTTGCTTTCCATAAAAGTTCATGTCGTCTTGTGGAGTTAAAAATAAGTCAATACATGTCATGTTTTAAGTTTCAATTGGAAGATCTCTTCCGTCTTTCAGAAATTGCAAATTCAGATGCACACTGAGGTCCTACCTCAGCAAACCGGAGGGTTCTTTGTGTGCAACAGTACCAACAAACAACGGTACAAAATATTCCTGGTCATGGACTATCAGAGCTGTGACTTGGGGGCGATCCACTGGAGGAAAACCCAAACATGGAGATATTTCTTGCTTCGGTAACAATGCGGACTAATTCCAGGATCCTTTTTTGTCTAATCTACTGAAATCACTGAAAGAGCCTTGTATCTCATTGGGAAGGCAGCTGGGTAAGAAAGCAGCTTTCCAGTGTCCCACTAACCTTTTTTACTGCTCACACATTAGATGAGAACCTCTCTCACTGTCAACAGCCAGAGCCCTTAGCAGAAGCTTTGTAGCATCTCTCATATTGGATGGTAAAAATTCAGGTCATCCTAGTTCTCGGCATTGTATGTGACACTGAGAAAAATTCTCCAAAAAACCAAACGCAGAGAGAAACGTCCTCTTTATAAGCTACGTGTGCCAACTTTGATATGCGTTAATTATGATAAACAATTAAAAATTATTTGGGCCACTGTTTCACCACTGCCTGCTTCCCTAAGTGCAACTCAGCTGAAGGAAAAAATCTCCCCACTCTGTATCAAACACACGCATACATAATATTTTAGTTGATGTCAGCGCCGCAGTTTCTTTATCTGTAGCACACACAAGACTTTAAGCAGACTGGAAATACACTACTTGCTTCAAACGCAGCGCAGGAAGCTGACACACAAGAGGAAAGAACGCCGCCTCCAAATTCACGCGCCTCTGCTGACAGAGCTGCGCCCACACCGCACTGCCAGCCCAGCAGCCTTGGCTGGGGCACGGATATTTCACAATCCAGGCTGACACAGCTATGCCAACAAACCCGTGGAGCCCAACGCTGGCCTCAAACTATTTTAGAAGTGGTAAGCAAGCCAAGAGAAAAGAAAAAAAAAAGAATTGAGGGTTGCTGCCTAACACCCTGCAAAAACATTACGAGAGATGATGGAGAGAGTTATGCAGCGTAACCTCATTTATGTTAAATTTGGTATTTCTCTTGGGGTCTGATGGTATATTAGAAAGGAAGCAGGGAAATATTCTCTACATTTTTATTGATGGGGAAACTGAAGAGCGTGGCTGATGGAGTATAGCAAGTGTTCTCCAGATGAGAAAAAACCAGGCACAGAAGCGTACTGCCAGCATATTGCTGTAACTTCGTTTACTGTGTCTTCCAGTATCATTTGAGCACACAGCTTGAGGGCCTTGTTCTGCCTGTCACACGCCTTCCACCCTGTACTAGGAAGCATAAATATACCCCAGCTCCTTTATAATTTCAAACAAATGTTTAGCTAATTCTTCACACCCCAAAGTTGGAAGTAGATAATAAGCAGTTGGTGGTTTTATACTTGATGCTCCATGGAGAGGATCAGGAGGATAAAAAAGATCTCACTACTGGTGTGCAGAGAAGAACCAACTCAGAGCCTTCAAGCCAAAATAGTCACATTTCTGCTTGTCCTGGTTTCGGCTGGGATAGAGTTAATTGTCTTCCTAGTAGCTGGTACAGTGCTGTGTTTTGGATTTAGGATGAGAATAATGTTGATAACACACCGATGTTTTAGTTGTTGCTAAGTAGTGCTTACACTAGTCAAGGACTTTCCAGCTCCCCATGCTCTACTGACTGAGAAGGCTGGGGGTGCACAAGAAGCTGGGAGGGGGCACAGCCAAACTGGCCAAAGGGACATTCCACACCATATGATGTCATGCTCAGCGTATAACGCTGGGGGAAGAAGGAGGAAGGGGGGCATGTTTGGAGTGATGGTGTTTTTCTTCCCAAGCAACTGTTACGCGTGATGGAGCCCTGCTTTCCTGGGGATGGCTGAACACCTGCCTGCCCATGGGGAGTAGTGAATGGTTTCCTTGTATTAAACCGTTCTTATCTCAACCCACGAGTTTTCTCACTTTTGCTCTCCCGATTCTCTCCCCCATCCCACCGGGGCGGGGGGAGTAAGCGACCGGCTGTGTGGTGCTCAGTTGCTGGCTGAAGTTAAACCACGACACTGCTATAAGCAAGCAATGCTGCATTTTGCCAAATTTCTTGCTTTTCTACTTGATAACAAACCAAGTGTTATACTGAAGGGAGAGAAATAAGCAGGTTAGCTCTAGAGGATACCTGCTTTGAAAAACACTATGTCTGCACCACTTACGTATATTTGAATTGTGACACTTCAATGTCCTCTTAATTGTAAGAGTCACACAAGGCCAACACAGGAGCTGTTTTATGTGGCCGATCCGTGCAGCTACACAGACGTCAGCTTTCAGAAATAGTAGCTAGCAGCTGGAAGGTACGTTGTTTTAATAGGGAATTGCAGGAAACAGTTGTGGGGCTGCGCTGTAATAAAAAACAACCAACCAGAAAAAAAAAAACCCCAACATTCAGGATTTCTTGTTTGGCTACACATTGCGGGCAAGTAAGAATAAGTATGGCAAGCCTGGACTAATTTGCATGACTCATTTTTTGTCCATGACAAAATGGATCCTCCTCCTCCTTCTGTAGGAAGATGCCCAAGTTGTACTCTGCCACTTTCCACAAAAAAAAAAAAAAGCGCTGCCGCTGCTGCGAGAGGACGTCAGAAATACCATGTATAACTGACAGCCCTTCCTGGTCGGGGTCCTCTCTTCACCAGACACCAGGGGTGAACTGGTGATGGTTGAGGGGAAGCCTTACCAGGACCACTTTCCTTCTCACTGTCCGCAGAAACACCCATCAGTGTCCAGACAGATGAGCCTCACATTGCAGCCTTGCTGCTGCCACTGAGCGCCTCTTCCCACGTCAGAGCTCACCCGTGGGAGCAGGATTTAGAGGGCTCCTGTCATTTGGGGAGTGGGGGCTGCCTGGCAGTGTAGCCACCACTGATGCCCTCCAAATCGTCGTGTACCTGCGTACACGCAGCACTGCTGCTTCGTACCCACGCAGGATTAGCATGCACACCCTCTTTTTAAAACAACATTGCACAAAAACACAGTGAGGGGAGGCTACTACATTAATCCATGGGAAATTAAGAGGTTTAGTTAGGATATATAATTAAAAACAGACCTCCCGTGCTCTTGTTAGTTACTTTTATTTTACTGTGTGCCCAAATAAGCATGCCAGGCAAGGCATCGGTATCATTGCTTTTGCAGGAAGAGAATGGGAGGAGGAGAGAAAGGTCAAGTTACAAATTCATACATCTCAATCCATCTTAAACCTTTGCTTTCCACCATTTTGGGGTGGAAAGCATCTTTCATCATCTAAGGTGATTAAAGACTGACAGTCTGCTGGTTATTGTAGATCACAAGTTAATGCCAAAAATGCCAACCAATTCTCAGCAGTCCAAAAAATGTGGATTAAAAAAAATCAGACTTCATGCTAGAAAATACTGGCCTGGTAAAAGAAGAGTTTTTCTGAAAGGTAAATATGGCAAGTCCCCCCTCCAGAAATATTCCTAGCTATTTTTCAGGCATGAATGGGATGAAATGAAATATGCAGTTGTGGAAAAAGAGACATTTTGCTTAAGCGTTGGGAAATCAAGACAACAGAAAGAATGCAAAACATAGACTGAATGGTATAAATGAGTACAAAAGCCCGGGAACAAAAACTTTATGCTTTTCACAGCCTCCTCCCTGCAGCTCTACAAAGGCCAGGGCTCTCGCTCAAAGCTGGAATGGGAATAAACAGCCTTCTGGTCAAGCTTCCAGTGAAAGGAGCCAGCAGCAGTGAACTTGGCAAGCTTGTGCCCGCCAGCAATTCCCACACGCAAGGGAGAGGAGAAGTGGCCTTTCTCCTCACCAGCTTCTCCTCGGTTTTGGAGCTGAGCTGCTCCCTCCTTGGGAGGCCAAAGGCCACAAAAGGCTCTCCCATCCCCTAATTGGCTTCTCCAGAAACAGTCCATGCTCATACCCCTCCCACGTCGGCTTCTTCAGCTCATATCCCTCCATCCCACCTGCATCCCCTTAACAAGACCACCAGACCGAGATAAGACATTGTACATCACTGAGAGTGAGGAGCTGAAAAATTAAGTAATTCCACCTTAGCTCTGCATGGGTAACAAGATTATTATAAAGTCAATTATTCTCACTGGTGAACATTTGGGTACAATGTCTGGTATTTCTTAATGCAGAAAAATAATGAGAAAGTTTTCCTTTATTATGATTAAGCCCATAAGCTGTAATGTACTTATGATAAACAAACATTATTAAAGTGAAAAAACGCAAGTCTTTGCTACAGATACGTTCACACTTCAGTCACAAAATATGTATTTCACATTAATATAATCACAGAATCATAGACTGGCTGAGTCTGGTGGGCACCTCTGGAGATCACCTAGTCCAACCCCTCTGCTCATGCAGGGCCACCTAGGGAAAGTTGCTCAGGATTGTGTCCACTCGGGTTTTGAATTATCTCCAAGGACGGAGACTCCACAGCCTGCCTGGGCAGCCTGTGCCAGCGTTTGGCCACCCTCATAGTAAAAATGTTTTTTTTCTTCCATTTAAATGGAAATTCCTGTATTTCACTTTGCACCCATTGCCTCTTGTCCTGGCACTGGGTACCGCTGAGAACAGTCTGGCTCTGTCTTCTTTAGTCCTCCCATCAGATATTGATACACATTTGTAAGATCCCTGAGCCGTCTCTTCTCCAGGCTGAGCAGTCCCAGCTCTCTCAGCTTCTCCTCACAGGAGAGATGTTCC